AATCTTATAAGCTGCAAATCTGGCAGGAGAGAGGTAATCCCAGAGCAATAACATTCTATCAACGCCTTCACTTTTGATATTCCTTCTGCCAAGAATGCCCGTTCACCCCTGGTTTCTCCTGGACAACGCAGGTGCCTGCGCAGACCTCACCTCATGCTAAAGACGCTTCCCGGTCAGGACTTCGCAGGGGCTCCACCCACATGCTCAAGCCTATTTCTGTCACGTTAGTCGTACCCTTTTCTAATGGTCAGTTTGCTTCTTCTGCACTAGGCCAGGCATGTGTCTACTGACTTTTAGTTTCCTAGTTTCTAATAACATGCCCAGCACAGAGTAGGCATCCAGCACACATTTGCTAAACAAATGATACAAATATACATTTACTGACACATTGCACTGTGTCTTAAAATTGTGATCGCCTCTCTCCTATGAACACATGCCAAGAAATCCATACACGAGGCTCTCTGTAAGCTTATGCGAGTGAAGGCACATCTGTGCTCTAAGAGTGTGTGATCTTCAGTTTTACGACAGACAACAATCCTTACATGTGCTGGTGATGTCACTGTAGGAATGGGATAATCTCAGGTAGTAAATCTTAATTTACCAGCGATAATAAAGGCAACAACCTCACCCTCAAATTTCCTTGGCACCTACAGAGCATATTCCACTGCAAAGAGCATTAGGTTCAACTTTTAAAGCCTTTTAAATCCAGATACAAGAAAGATTTCGTTGTCAAGCCCCTGCCTTGTGATTTAGCAGGATAAAAGGCCTGGAACATGGGAATGAAATGTCTATTCTTTCAGAGTTCTCTACAGGCCGGTTACATCGCTGATTCGTGTTCTAGAAAATTCCTATTTAAATCCCCATGGTTAAAGTTATAAACACACAAAAATCATCTACTGTCTGAGTGAAGTTTGAAACGTGAGTGAATATGTAATATTACAGACCCAATAAGCCACCACACTTAAATATGTAGTTTTTTAAAAAAGTTTCCTAGGTATGTAAGTAACATGGGCCATTTCAAATGCATATTAAAAAAAGCAGTAAAAATTGTATGAGGCAAACACACTCTTCCCTCTTTCCCCCAATAGTTGAAATTCATATATACTGTGATAGGACAAAGGAAATCAGGAAGAAATGAATAATTTAAAAAAATGTGCCTTTGTGTGCAATGATGAATATACTAATTATCCTGATTTGATCATCACATACTGTACCCCAATGCTGATAGACAACTCAGTGCCCCACAAATGTGCATCATCAATTACATTTCAATAAAAACATAAATGAAACTTCTAAGTTACATAATTAAAAAAAAGAAAGTTGAAATGATTTAAATATCCACAATATGTGACGTTTTTTCTATCCTCTATTTATGTTACCAGCTGAAGTACTTGTTTTCATTGTGTGAATTTGTTCAAAGTAGATTTGGTCTATTTTTAATAAAGTTTTCTTTAAATGCTTAAAAAAAGAAAAAAGAACTTGGTACATTAGACACACTCATTAAAACACACACACACACACACCTAACACTGTGTCCGACATATTTGTAGAATACAAAACACAGTAGCACACGCTGGACTTTATTCAGTGTCCATGAGATACAGGGATTCTCAGATCCACAAACCAAAGACATGGCTCACCATGACCAAGGCCACGCAGTGAGTGAGTCCTGCGTCCCATCTGCTGCGTGGGGAACTTTTNGCGGGAGCGCCGCCGCACTCTCAAGCAGCGCACTGTAGCAGTGCGCCACCGGGCCGGCCCCGTGCGTGGGGAACTTTAAGGCTGGTTACCTTGACAACATACCAAACCATGTTTGCTCCTTTCTGAGTGTATCTTTTCCTTTGTAAAATGGGCCAAAAAAGGATGCCGGCCCATTAGCTCAGTGGTCAGAGCGTGGTGCTGACAACACCAAGGTCAAGGGTTCCATCCCTGTACCTGCCAGCCGCTCAAAACCAAAAGGTATATATATACTTGTAAAATGGGCTAAAAAATGTTTACAAGTGTAGACAATTGAAACACAATCACATAATGCACTTTGTAGGAAAACAGCAAATCCGGAGGGAGGACAAGGAATTTCATTAAGAAGAGAAAAACTGAAAGCTCTTCAAAGGAGAATAAAATTTTAAACTGAGCACTTTACCCCGTAAAGGATGCTTGAATTCATTTAGAGACTAAAAAATAAGACATCTGGAAAGTTAACAGAAATATTATTCTTTTTTTCTGTTTTAAGATTTTGCCAAACATGAACTTAAGTAATTTCTTGGACTTCTTAAAGGTAAAGGTTTGCTTTAGTATTTAGTTTATGGGTTTTTGTTTGTTTGTTTGTTTCTAATGGGTCAATGAAATTCTGTATAATCAGTGTAAATGGAAGGAAAAGGGATAGAAAAGCATAATTGAAAGCAGCCTAAAAAACACGAAGGGCTGTTTGCTTTGGGGAATTAAACGACATCTTCTAGGACTAACTTCTTCCTAAATATGCAGAGGGAAAACACTTTTTCAGTGCTGCCAAGAGAACCAACGTGGTTTCTTCAACCGCG